TGGGGTGAAAATAGAGAAGTCTGTACATTATATATTTTTGGTCGAGTTTCGACCACTGGACGACCTCTAGTACTTATTTAATACGCAAGCAGGTTTTTTGAGACAATTACTCCTCCGAAACTACTGAACCGATTTACACGTTTTTGGTGTCATTGGAAAGAGAATAACGTGAAGTTGTGCAGGAAACTTTCTTTTTAGGGAAAGAATTAGGGAGTGAGGCCCTGGGGCCTTTTAAAGTTTCGTATTTCTCCATAAGGATAACATGGGAGATATTTTTTATTTACAGAAACATATGTTTGTAACTTTAAAATAGTCAAAGTCTACTACATAATAATTGCTGTGTATTATGACTGTTAATGTATACTACATTTCAATCAAGGATTGTGCGACTTAAAGTTTACTCATAATGGATCTTACTACTTTATTTTAATGCTGGGAATAGTAAAATTAGCTGAGTTACCATGATTTAGAAAACTTTACTATAATAATATATGTATTTAAAATCACAAATCTTTGACATTATTAATTCATTTGAAACGAAACAGCTGATCGACAAATCAAACAAATAATTTACTTCGTGTGAATAATGTTGTTACACAAACATAGTTTTTTTTTACCAATAACTTGATTCTTTTTGACTTGTGGGTGTATTTTGTGTTTGCAGTTATTAAAGCACCAAGCCAAGTAACATTTTATGTAATTTTCTGTATAAACTAACAGTATTAATGAATTACTACATGAACTTGACAAGTTAGGTAATTGATTGTCAGTATGCCAAGGGGAAGAAGAGTGGGTCCTCAAATACAGACGAAAACGGAGACACCCATCTAGGGAACTGAGTTTTTAAATATAGAGGTCAGTGGATTGCGAAGACAAGACACAGATTAGACTATTTAAAGGGGGGCAGTGGTTTTATTGATGAGGAATATTAATACATAAAAAAGGGCCTCATTAATGGCACAAGGATTCATGTGATCAGAACGGTTAACAACTTAATAGGACGTAAAGTCCTATGGTCCTAACTAGAACAAGTGAGTGGACACATATTTTGATTTCGAGGAAAACAATTTGCCCGTCTGAAACAAACTTACCTTTTAAAATGGTAAGATGCTAATTTCTGTTATCTTTGGCATTTGCAGCACAAGCACTTTAATTAAAGAGCAGCACTGTTCTTACCCAGACCAATTTCAGTGCATGAGCAACTATATTATATGTTGTTTTATGTAAGGCAACATCTTTTAATAGGATACGCATATTCATTACGGAAAATTCTGACCAGGGTTATATTCCTGAAGGTAACTTTTAGTATTCATGGAAGTGCTTTTGTGAAAAAAAAATTTGTTATGTAGTGTTTATTTTTTAAAGTGTTTTCTTCAAGCAGCATTTTATGACCCTCAAAATATGCTACACAGGCCTATTGGTTTGATATGATCAAATTGTTTGTTGAATCTGTTTTTAAAAATCTTTAAAAAATAACTACCCTATAACATACTTGAACTTCAACACTTATTAATTTACTAAATATAATACACATACAGCTAGAAAATGGCTGGACTACTTCCCTTCGAAGGCTTTATTATTACTAATTTTTGACGTCAAGTCAATATATAACACGATGAATTTGTTTTTAAAATTCATATGTTATTTTGCGGGGCATTGAGCGGCACAGGTTCACTAGTTTATAATAATTCTACTTCATTACCAACATACTTGTTATTCTGTAAAATATATATTCACGTATCCTCTATACTCTATTTTTTCATTTTAGAAACACTAGTATGAATAGTAAGTTAACATAACATCGTGATCTGTTAAAACACCCATGAAATCGTCATACTTATCAATGCTAATGGAAATGCTAATGGAATCAACGTCTATTAGTTGTGTCCAATGACATTAAAGTGGCAAAGAAATACCCTCACCGCACTATACCTGCAGACTAAGCGAATTTCCATGTGCCTCTTAGGATTTTTAATTAAATCTTAAAACATTAGGATTTACCTATGTTTGCTGATACAAGGAGGGTAACAACGTTTTTTTTTGTAAAATATCAATAGCTTAGTAAAACAAATTGTCAAGTTTGATCAAAATATATCTATAAACAAGCAAACTACATCATTTTACAATATTCTCATATAAAAATAGGATAGGAATTTAAAAAAATTAATTGTTTAATTTTCTCCGTAACAAATAACTGTACAAAAACACTTTTAATACTAAATTATAGATTTTTTTTGCAATTTAACATGGTTTAGAAGAGGCTCATTTTGAGTTTTGAGGGTCAAAAATAAGAAAAACCTATATTTACCCCACAAACCCCTGTTCCCATGGTCCGATCATGCAGTTTCGCGAACTCATTTCAACCCAAATTTCATCGAAATCAGGGGAAAATTACTCAAGTTATCGCGTTTACGGGCAGATATAAATAGTTTTGAACGGACGGACGGTGTTTTTGGCCTCTGGGGACATCAAATTAAAAAAGTAAATCGGTCCCGGGTATGTCTTACCATGAGACCTACGGTAATAGCAACTTCCCTATAGAGAAATTCGCTAATACTGCGGGTCACTATAGTTTAACCTACTATTGTAATGGCAAAGATGAGTGCGGAGAATTTGTTTCTTTAGGCTTTTTTAGGAAATAAACCCTTAAATAATAAACATACAAATTTGAAAAAATATTTTAACACTTTCTCGTTTGATTGACGAGTATTTTCTTTACTTTCACATCATGTGTGTTTGAAAGTGTTTGAAAATGCAACCAAAGAGGAAATTAAAAAACCCTATATTCACTAATTTAATATACTTTACCAAGTTTTTCACAATGACTTGATTGTTAAGAAGAGCAAAGAGCACGCTGGCAATTTTCTAGTCCTGCAACATCTTGTGTTCTCCGTGTTTGATCCCGGAAACGTAAAGATATTCCTTAAAAGTGTTGTTACTTGCACTATTCGAAGCTCATGTTGCAGCTTAGAAATATCAATTTTATGTATGCTTCAGTTAAGTACTGGTATCTTATGATTACATATTTTTCAACCCCTGCCCAAGGTTCTACTAGTCTAGGGTTGGCCATTAAATATTTTGGTTAGGGCGGCCAACCTGTCCCAGCACTAATCCTCATGCACCCTGGGACAGGTTGGCCGCCCCCGCAGAAATATTTTACGACCGACCCTTGGCGAGGAGACCCTGGGAAAGGTTGTCCTACAATCGTAAAACGAGCTACAGCCTAGCGTCCCATGATGTAAAGGTTCTTGATAAATGCATCTATAGTCAATGAAACTACCAATATACTTACCGAAGATCTTCGAGTGCTTGAAGATTGTTTACTCCCATAATCGAATATCATCTTGCATGATTGCAATTTTTACCCCCCACGGTGCAATTTCTGCACAGACTACTACAACAATGGCTTGGTGCCACTACAATGGCGTCACCTCCGGGCTATGTACAATCAACAGAACAAAACATCCCGGTCAGTGAACTTGGCAAGTTTCAAGGTCAACTTGGATATACGTTATAAATATTTAATATGTAAAATATATAAGTGGTTCACAACGGTGTTAAATAAAGGAGATAAACTGGTACGGGTGGCGTCGTCCTGTAATCCAACTACTAGGAGGTTACGAATTGTGGATATTTATAGGGATGCACTGTGGATGCGACACTCCTTGGTGTGGATTAACGTCCACACGAGTGAGAACTACGTCTATCCGCAGTACTATCCTGAAAATTAGACCAATTTGTATATATTAAGGTAAAAATTCCACTGTAAACTGTAGGTCCCTTAGTTGCCATTAGCTGTATGGGCTATTAATTAACAGCTTTGTCTAAGGAATGAGTCGGCCTTAGTCACTAACAAGACTACAAGATCGCACCACTCATCCTACACTCATCTCCATTCATACGTGGCTGATTTGTATGGTCGCCATTTCATTGAGAAAGTATTAAAAATATGAAAATAAGTGGGTCAAAGGTTTTTGTTTTCAATTTTTTTATAGCTGGGTAGATGTGTATATTGCTAGTATCACAATTAGAAGTCAGTAGCTTGACGGTTTGAAAGCGGACTGTATATGGACATTGGACATTTAGTGATCTTCTGGTATCAGTCCAGGATACCTGGATCGTCTAACTGCATCCCATACTTCCCCTGGATTCATGTTCAGTCTTAAACACCCCCTTTAAGTATGTTGTTGTCTTACTGAATGATTTAGATTTTTAGTGGTTATTTTTTCATAAAATCCATAAAATATATAGAATTCTCTCAAAAATGGCCCGAAAGATGTTGGTAAAAATTTGGTATGTTGCAACCCTTGAAAATTGAAGTACTCCTTTATAATTCATGTAAGAATTATGGTTAAAAATGTATTGTAACTTGTGTTATTTCCCGATTAAAAAAACATAAATTAAGAGAATATCGGAATTTTGAAGAAAAAAAACGCTTTTGATTGAAATATGTATGTGATGCTCCTTATAATTCATACCATAATAGTGCAACCTCCTGTAAAAAAATACTGTTCAAAAGTCAATGCAACTTTTGAACGTTTACCAATTAAATAGCATAGCCTACTCTCATCCATCGCTTACCCATGATAAAGGTTTGGCAAGCCAATGGGAGAAAGTATGTGTCAGATTGCTGATGCAGTTTATATAATCCTTTGTATCAGCTGGGGTCTGGGTAGTTATGGTGCTCTACCTAATGTTTACCGGTTCATTACTGAGAATATATCTTCTGTTTCCATTATTTTATCAACGATCCTGAACAGCTGATTTTAGACAGCAACAAAGCTACACTTGCATCACACTCTTTCTTCACTCATATTTTCGTTAATCGCCTCACCATCAATTGGTAATAATGATTTAATTCCCATGATCCCCTTTATGACGCGCCGTGATCTCCCCCCAATACCCCATACCCATCCCATGGTGTGGCCTTCAAGGTCAGTTCCGCAGTGCCCCAGGTCGCGAGCCAAGATGGCGGAGATGGGTATATATCCAGCGCGGCGCAGCCCCCCGTCACAATCTACAAGACCGACGCCGCAACAACATGTACAAGTTTATCCTGGTAAGTCTTGTAGACGTAAATGTTTTTTTATTACTAATCCATATATAAATGGCAATTTTAATCACTCACTGATCACTTTTAAAAAATTAAAAAAATTTCAAACTCCATGAAGAAATTTCATTAGGGTTCTGCCCCAGTTGCTATAAGTTTCTGCATAAAAGAGACATTTTACCTTTGTTCATTTTATTGTATTACTATACAACAAAGGTTTCGCAATTCAGTTCATGTACCTATGTAAATTCCTTTCTTGTAAATGGTTAAGACATTTTGAAAATTTTAGATATATAACGTGTAAACAATGGTCAATATTTGAAGAAAATCATCTGTCGTTTTTATCTATTTATAACGGGACGAGATTACTTTGGGCTTGCTTCTTTCATTTGAAGATTATTTTTTTGTGTCGACGTAACTCAGTTATTTATTTATTTGAAATGTAACATTTTTTGCTTTGAAGTTTTGAAAAAAATAAAAACGATTTTACTTAAGTTAATTCAACAATCATTGCAATTGAACTGCTGTTTAAATCTGTTATATCTAAGGATGTTAATAAGATTGAAAAATGTTTTAGTTTTATTTTAATAAGTTGGTCCGTAAAATAAAATCTTTGTTTAGTCATTTTTTAATGTGTACCAGTAGTTTAAAGTTCAAAATATCAAGCAAAGTAACTCAACTATAGACATTGATCAAGTCAACTTTCAGGGTACAGAAAAACGTGAGTAAGGGTTGTATTCAAATTAATCAATAAACGTTTAAAATATTAATCTTCATTTACCTGTTTAAAAACATTATAGCGTAATAACATTAACTTTATCTTAACATTTTGAGCTCTATTAAAAATGTTTGTCAGCTTTGCGATTTTATAATGGTTTACTGTGTTATTTTTTATGCTTTATCGTTATATCGATACAATAATACAAAAGTGTCCGCAATGAGGTAGTAATTTTGTAGGGTTTTAAATAGCATTGAAAGACATGCTTTATTGCAATTATTATTAAATTAACTGTAGTACCTGGGGACCGAGCCTTGGCTCGGTGTAGTTTTTTTTCGATTGTAAAAGCAATATAAAGGAAACTCGCATTTTATTTACAACTAATTTTGGCTGTTATTATTTATAGTGGAATTTCAATTTATTATGATGGGAATTTAACCTGGCAATCCTCAAGACATTAATTTATTTTACAGTCGATGAAAGGTCGTTTGTTTATAATAGCCTATACTCGCATAAGCATTTTTTTACATTTTGTTTAAATTAAAACAGCTTATTACTTTGGGGATTAAACTATGGTAGGAGAGAGCCAAGTTAAATAACCAGTATTTGATCGGAGCTTGGAACTATTTTCACCCATATCGACTTATCTTCAGTGTAATCGTTGCTCAATAGTAACCACTGATGTTTTTCCTTTTGTACTTTATTTTGTAGTTCGCTAGTATACTGTGGGTGGATGGTTTATTATGAACACATGTTACAACTTACAAGTCTTTTGTTTACCTTTTCCTTGTCATTTTGTTCAAGCAACATGGTTACTTAGCAACACATAAGGCCAATGTTAAATAGTTTTGACTTTCAATTTCATTTTGTTAAGTAATTAGATTTTTGTTGGCAGTTTTAACTGCATTAAACACGTTTTTAGGCCAGAAATGAATTATTTACAGCATTTGAAGGAAATTCTCGAAGCCGTTTTCGAGATCTTTGTGCAAGCAAGCATACAAGTATACATACAGACAAGCAAACATTGCTCATATGAGTATAGGATACACGTTTTGTTTCAAAGGTTTTAAAAGTTTTGGAAATACCTCAGAAAATTCTGCTGCGATGATTTTATAGTAATAAATAAACTGATACTTCATAATAAACTACAGTACAATGTCATGAGTAGGATTTGATAAAATTGCTTTTACTTAACAAAAGGTAAAGCATTTATCACGATTTGTTAGAAATAATCATAGTTTAGTTCAAAGTTCAAAGCAACTATCTTCGTGATCTTGCACGTTAAACTGTTCAATGTTTGACGCGGTGTCTAACTAATATGAAGTTAATTACTATTGACATGTCAACCCAAGGAGCGAGCTGGTGTAGGGTAAAGAGCGCGGGACCTCTAGTCAGGAGGACCCTAGTTCGAAACCTCACCAAATCACCAATGGATTTTATCTATGTGATAGTGCCGCGACTAAAAGGTTAACCTTTTTTAGAAAATTTTCACCCTAAAAATTAAGTTACTAAAAGGTTAAACATTTATTATTTTCATTTTTGTGTATGTATTTTTGACAGTCACCAACTAAAAAAAACATAATTTGTTAAGGATTTAAAGATAAATTAAAGGGATTAAATTTAACTCGTCCAAAAACATATTCCTTAGTTTGTATATCGATTCTTAAAAAATATAATTGTACAATATGTTTGAATGCTCTTGTAGACATTACATTGATGCAATCGGATTTTTGTGGAACCAGATTATTTGTGACTATTTATAGGCCTACTTCAAACATTCCCCAAAAGAATATAAATCTCTTGTTAGGTAAAATGTTGCAGCAAGATTTCGTTTAACAATTAATCATAACTATGGTTCTTCCAAAAAGAAGAATTTAATCCAGCACTAAGCACAACCAACGTAATATGTAAATCGATGAAAACAGATTTTTTAGAAAATGTAACAACAAAGTGTTAATGATACAACTAATATTTCGTTACAACCTAATGATAGAATCCTTCGAAAATGTTTAACCAATTTTATTGAATAACAGTCGCTGTTTGATTTTATTCCCCCTTTAGTAGGTACGATTTTCAATATTGATAGATTAATAGGATTGTTTTTTTTTTTATATCGAGGATGGGAAGCTTTCTAATTTAAATTAGTGTTTTTTTTTTAACTTGATATCAGAATTGTTTGTAAAATTAACATTTTAAAACCTAAACCTGAGTACAGATAGCTTGGAGCTCTAGTTAGTTAGTACAATCTCTTCTACGAGCGCTAGTGTGCTCACTGCGGGACCAATCATGTTCGGCCGACGATGGTATGTTAGCGTAGCTCAGTTGTAAGGCGCACTGATGAGTGTAAAATTAGTAGTTAAATTAGTACGTTATTATTTGTTATCATTAGTACAAGTAGGTTTGCAATAAAACTGATTACTGAAATTTGAGAAGCTCAATAAAACCTACAAAAATGTTTTGAGATAAAATTATCTCGTGCAAAAAGTGTTCTAATGCCTTAGGTCTTAAAAAAAAACATTAAAATTAAGCATACATAACGCAATATGCGTGTAAAAATCGATGTATTTCGGCTTCTCCGAAAATGCAGCAAGGATTTGTTACTAACACAAATAATATTACGTTACAAATTAATAATACAACTCTGTAATAATATAAAACCGTTAATTGTTGTTTTATTTGATTTAAATTTTACTATATTGTTACTAATTTCAACATCGATAGAATATTCGATCGAGGTGTAATTTTTGTTTATTATTGAGGATTGCAAAGCTCTCTAAATTTATTTAATACCTGTGTGATTAAAATATGTAGATGTTGACCAATTCGAGTAAAACTTGATATCAAAATTGTTTTTTTTTTATGACAAGAACTTGTATACAAACAATAGTGCAATGTTAATGCATTATTTATGTGTTCATTGTCTGTAGGTATAAATGATATTGAGGAAAATGACTAGTTATTGTTGAATTTGCCTTTAGTGTGAATTTAGGTACATACCAGCTGCTGCACAGGCAAACAACAGAGCTCTAACAATATCCGGGTAAAGATACGGACTTGGAGTTTGACTCAACATAGCCTGTCCTCTGTCCACAAATATAGATTGAATTTGCTTGTACGATTTGGAAATAATTTGCCTATACCGAGTTAGGTTAGATTATGTAGATGTCTTTCTTGTCTCTTTCTCTATCTTTACTTCCCTCTCTGTATCTTTTTGAGCTCATCTTTCCGAAACCAAAACTTTCTTAGAGCGTATCTTTCCGTATACCGTAGCCCAACATTGCTAAACCCTTAGTGCATTGTTTCCCATCATTACACTACAACCTCACTTCTGTAATGCTACTATTTGGTAACATACTTGTACAAGACATAGAAGTTCTGATACTAATCATGTTCTCTTTCCAGCTGTGTACCCTCCTGGTCGCCGCCCTCGCGCACCCCCACCATGGTAGCAACCACGAGACCAAACACCACCACGACGAACAAGAGAAACCAGCAGCGGAGAAACCCGCCGAGGAGAAACCCGAGGCAGTAGAGGCCGAGAAACCCGAGGAGAAACCTGAAGCCGAGGCGAAACCCGAGGCTGCTAAAGAGGAGGCGAAGAAGGAAGCCAAGAAGGACTCGCACGAGTCTCACTCCCATGATTCCAACGAAGCTCCCCTTCCAGTCGAAGGTCATTCCCATTCCGCTTCTCCTGCCCATTCCGCCTCACCCTCCTCATCGCATTCCCATTCCGCACACTCTCACGACGAACACTCGTCCAAGAAGGACCATTAAACTTTCCTACTTAGCTTTTAGATCTTACAGTTCCATACAATAAATTACTTTTAGTTTATATCCGTGTTTTATTTACATATTTGTCTTCCCTGAGGAAATAATTGAGTCAGAAAGTATATTTGTTTCAAAAGGGTATCAGAATGTTGGCAGCAATACTTAGTAAGTCAGGTTTAATTGTAAAGTAATGTTGTAATGTTTACATTGTGTAGTAAACTCGTATCCTTTTAATCATAGAAGTCGGTGTAGCCTGTTGCGCATGCGACAGTAAAGAACAACAAATTTAATTAATTAATGATCAATTCGAACTCATGGGTTTATTGGAAGCATCACAGAGAGGTGAGGTAGTATTTAATCTTACAATATTATGTAGCAGACATTGAAGACCTGACATCTATCATTCTTATAGTCTTGTCTTATACCAGATTTAAACATATTTTTATTTAGTTCTATGGTCTAATTTAAAAATTCTACTTGGTACAAAAATGTTTGACCACTTTTGTGTTAATCGTTCAGGTTTTGGGGGTTTTGACTTGGACTGTGAGTTTCTCAAAAGTTCCGCTTAATCGTTTCTAAGCGTTCATGACCACTAGGTTGTTGATATAAACGGTATCAGCACTGACACATATTTTCCTCCAATCAGCCTGTTAAAACCTCTTATCATAAACAAGCGATGGAAGTAACTATGATGTTTTATGGAAACATCACAAAGCTTCAATAACTTTTAAACTGTAATTTTAAACCATTGGGGGCTGTAAGATTTTTTTTAGGTAAGAGAACTGAGTTCTAACTAAAATCTTTGTAAAAATCGATGTTTCCGTCATAATTGGGTTTATGGAAAAATCACCAGTACAGATAACAATTTTAAAAAATCTAGAAGATTCCATGCATTAGTACCAACATACCAACTTTCATGAAACTTGGACCAAGAGGTAGTCTCCACACACACATACAAACTTCATTTCGAAGCCTACTTTTTTGGGTCCAGGGGAATCTAAAACTGATAGTTCCACTCAAAAATCAAAATAGTAAACTTTTGCTCAAACAATACTTTCTTCATATACTATGTATCGGGGGAGATAGTAAAAAATGTATTAAAACATAATGTAATAAGTACTGTTATAAAAATCTACAGTTTAAAGACAAGTTGTTCTAAAATAAACAACAAAAACTCCCACCTATCAGCAATTATTAGACTAATATTCGAGAGAATCAAGAATTTAGAAGTTTATTCACCTTTGAGTAATACAAGAATAAAAAGATTACAATAGGCTTCATCAAGTTAATACATTGAAAGACAGTACCAAAATCATAGGTAGGTTCATTACTTTACTAATAGTCAAGAAACTCATTGGTCTAAGAACACAGAAGTATTAGAAATTCACCAGTAGATGGATGTAGTTTTTTAAAAAATATTTTAGTTCATAAATGCGAGAAACTATCCCACAAATAACGCATAACAATATCTTTCCTCCCTTCCACATTTTATCTGAGCTTATGATTAATAAATATATGTTTTTTATATACATATTTTACACATTTATGTTAATACAATATTAACAACATGTAACATGATAAATCTAATTTAATAACAGTGACAATTCATTAAAATAGGTAGGTACAACATTACATGTACGGAAAGTGAGTTTAATAATTTTTATTAATACTGCTTCAATTATATCGCAATGGAAGTAAACGTGTCATTAAAGTTATTACCTGAATGACAAATAATAAACACAAGAACATAATGCACTGCCAGTAGACCTACAATGTAAAATGCTTAAGTTCATTTAATGAAGTGGATAACAGCTGATGAGTTAGTCCTTTACTCGCATGACGTGCTGGTTTCTTATTAGTTCATTGTTGTGTTCGTATCGTTGAACAGTTCGATGTACTTTCCTGTTGCTACAGGCAATGTCCGTTAGGGTTTCATTGTCTACTGCGTGTGGTGTTCGTATGGGATTCTATATCCATTCCTGTAGTGTTCGTTTAGGGTTTAGTATATATATCGTGTATGGTTTGTGATTTATGTATGTTTGTGTCAAGTAAAGGTCATATGAAGGCAAGATTAATGTTGGTACAATACTTTGAGAAAGGTAATTATTATTTCCATTATATAGTAGTGTTGTAAATTACCATACATGCTGTAGTTTTATGTGAAATTGTGAAATATAGTGATTAACAAATCTATCGCAAATGTAAACTCAGATCCAGACGGCTGTCAGCTGTTTGTAGCATTGTTGTTCTCCGTCTCGCGCTACGATCGTAGGTTAGTCTGTGACGAACCATTGTTTTGACGATTCACTAAGCAGGACTTTCATGAATTGTTTAACTAGGATATGTCATTTCTAAATACAATTTTCAAAAATTGTGTTCAGCTATAAAAAATACCCCCGGCGCAGCAAACCTGCAGAATAAGCGAATTTCCATTTGCCTGAATGGATTTACACTAAAATGTCTCCTTAAAAATATCACACTTATTCCCTATTTAAATAAAATTAGTTTAACGAGTACTTAGGTTTGCTGCAACAGGGAGGGTAAAAAGGTGTTTTTTTGTAAAATGTTATTAGTTTAGTATGAAAGGAATGCATTTCCCAAATTTGATCAAAATATGATCATAAACAAGCAAACTAAAACAGTTTACTTATTCCCCATAAGAATAACATGGGAATTTTAAATTTACAATTTTTTGGAATTTTTCCCGTAACCATTAGGCGCATAATAACGCTTCAATATATTAAATTATTTGTTTTTTTTTAAGCTCTACAAAATGGTTTAGAAAGAAAATGCTAAATTTTAAGTTTTTTGGGTCAAAAATGGGAAAACCCAATTTTTGCTCCATAAAACCCCCCATAAACCCCTGTTCCCATAGTCCGATCATGCTGGTTCGCGAACTCGTTCGAATAAACGTAGGTTTACACGTTTATACCAAATTTTATCAAAATCGGATGATTTTTTGCTCGAGTAATCGCGCTAACGGACATATATATAAATATATATATGAATTTGAACGGATGGTGTTTTTTTTCTCTAGGGACCTCAAAACGAAAAAGTAAATCGATTTTGGGTCCAGGTCTTACCATGAGTACTACGGTAATAGCTTATTCCCTATAGGGGAAATTCGCTAAAAATCATATATACACACATTCTAAGTTCTGTGGTCTATAATTGGGTTTGATTACTCTTGTAATCGGTTAGACTTCTCATCCCATTGTAAATTTTGAAGCACGTTTTTCGTTTCTAGTTCATGTACGTGACACAAAGGCGCTAGTGTCGATGAAACTTTGTTTCCATTATTTTAGGGTTAATTTCTTGATTTGTGCTTTACTGTTTGGTTATATAACCAGGGGACTAGTTATTGTTTATGATTAGATCGTATTATTTGGTTAAACAAGATTTTAAATGGCTGTAATAACGGGAAACAAATTGTAAACAAAACACGACCTCTACATAAACCGTACATGAACTAACAATAAAATTGTCTTCAGCTGTTCCATAAGGATGAGAAATCTACTAAGGGAGTATGTTTTATATATGGTAATATTATGCAGAGGAGAGCATAACTGTGCCGTCCCGACCCAGTGTGCTTCACTGACACCGAGTTTAAAAGATCAAATAATAAATAGCTGAGAAATCATGGTTTAAAACTTTGTAAATATCTGCTTGTTAAGTAGCCCAAATTGTTGCAATGACGTAACTAGTTACAACTTCATAAAGACATCATCAGTGTCCAGGGGATGTCAAAATCAATCGTATGATTTGTATGAGATCGATACACATCATATAAAAATAAATGACTGTGATTTCTCAACCACTTATTATTCTTTTCGATCTTTCAGAACATGATGTAGTTTGATAGGGAATTTTAAATTCTAAATAACAAAATTTTTGGAATTCGATCCAAAAATCAGTTGTTATTTTAAATCTTGCTAACTGGACATTTTTTAATAAATGTTATTCTTGATTTTTTTATTTTGACCGTTTTACCCATTAAACATATTTCTTAATTTTGTACTTACATATTTGACACCCTGTATAAACCACACGTTTGCAAGTTTTAAATGTTACAATTTCCTAAATTTATCCACTGTCGACTATAATGTTCACAATCAACAGTGTTAACACTCAGCGCCGTGATATTCTCTCGACGCAACACCCGCAGTACACGCGTGGCTCTGTATTGCTAGACAACGCCGTTGTATCTATACAACCTTTGTGAACGGTTAAAAACTACTTGTGCCACATACTGAGCATGGATTTTTAAAGTTCTTCATATAATTGTGAAATAATTTCGTAACATAGTATATAAACAAATATTGCTTGAAATTTTTAAATTAGCATGCAAATTTTGCCAATCCAAGCAATGAAAAATCTCTAATCCCATTATTGCAATGGTTGATATTTTGGATAAATAATTAACATAATCAAACCTTTGGTGGTAATAATACATTTCCAATACAAATTCTCTTTAGGCCAGAAATAGCAAAGTTCCTTTGAGCAGAAATCTGACGGAAATTGATTTCCTAAAAATTTCGTAAACAAAAAATCAAGCTCTAGTTAAGACTACTACAGTAATTTGGAAGTCAGTACACTTTATTAGTTGTTTTAGACATTTCCTTAGCTAAAGATATTTTTGTATATAGCAGATTCAAGGCACATATTGCACCTTTTTATTTGGATCGTTTAGCCAATTTCCATATAGCCTACTATAGGAAATTTCCTAAATAGGGCCTACTATAGATAGTAAATTCCCATTTTATTCTTATGGACAAAAGACCACTGTTGTGTATTGCTTGTTTATGAACGTATTTTGATCAAATTTGGAAAATTAATTTATTCCATACTATACTATTGACATTTTATCAATAAACACTTTATCCCTTCCACGTAGCAGCAAACCTAAGTAATTGTAGCAAAACATAAAAGTTGTGAAGAATGAGCGAAGAAAAGACCATTTTGGTCTGAGTAGTTAGCTATATTTTCATATAATATTTTTTTAGGCTTCAACTAATTTAAATCAGAAAAACATTTTATTTAGGAATCGTCCCTCAACATGTCTTC